GAACCTGTGAGCTCAGGCAATCCACCCACCTCAGCCTCCCAAAGTGTTGGGATTACAGGCATGAGCCACCTAGGCTGGCCTGTATTCACAGCTTTTAAACAGTCTCTCACAGTCCTCATTTATGGTGCTAATGGAATTTTTTTTAAAAGGTAAAATATGGACATAGAAGGAAATCATCAGTTGTCTATTTTTTTCCATTATTTCACTTTCCCCAATCAGGCCCCCAAATTTTAACCAAAACGATCCTACTCATCTCCCTTCTTTTCCACCCTAACCCTCCCACCCCAAATAATACACCAGTAATAGCCAAAAACTACACACATGCTACACTGTAAAAATGCAGAACTAACACTACTGGGAGGAAGGCTGTGAGTTGTGAAGATGCTCTTTGAAGATCTACAGTTTTGCTTTCCCACACACCCAATTCTTCAAGTTTTGTCCTTTATAGAAGGCCTTTTGCTTTTCTTAGCAAAGTGTAGAATGAGTGGCCTTGAAACACTTATTCCCCTTCCCATACAGCTTGAACGGTTTTAAAGCACTTGGAGCTGCCGTAGGGTACAGAAACTATACTGGCTCTTCAAAGGATGTCTTCTCAAGCCACCCCTATGGTGTCAAGACAAGTAAAATTCCTTCCCTCCCCACTTGAAACCCACAGTTAGATGTGTCCAGGGCTGGCACTTCAGGAAAGTTAATTCTTGTTCTTTTTTGTCATCATCCTTCACAGGATAGGAATGTCACGTCAGCCTTTCCTCATAGAAGGGTATGAAAACATGTGGGCCCTTGACATTGGTTTCCTTGGCAGGGACCAGGTCAGCCTCATCAGAGTTTTTCCATTTCATCAGGAACATGGGCTCTCCACTGGAGTTTGCAGCTCCAATAATCTGCTCCGGCTCCAAATCTGGGGCGAAGCCTCGTTGCTTTTCTGACTCTTCATTTCTTTGGTTTGCTCTCTTCTCCCTCATCTTAAGATCAGAATCAGCTTTGCACCTGCTCTCTCTGATTTATCTGTTTCATGTGCTATTTTCTGTAACTGCAGAAACTCAGCAGTGAGGTCAGGGCAATCCAGGTTCTCTTCTGGCTCCCTTGAGTTGTCCTCATCCGAGAAGCTCTTCCATTTTAGGAAGTACTCCGCTTTGCCCTTTACCCCCAATGGTCGAGAACTTTTTCCTCCACATATTCCTCTTCCTCCTCTTCTAGCATCTCCTCTACTTTCTTCTTGTTTTGTTTCTTCCCTATAGTGCCTGCCAGATTTCTGGTGTATAGGGTGACACTGCTCAGAGCAGTGCCCCCAAACCCGAGGGGAATCCGCTACTAGTGCATCATGTGGGGCCAGCCAGAAGAATGGCGCTCAGGAAAACAACATGCCCAATGGCCGTGGTGGAGCCCCTCAGTTATTCGGTGTACCGCAGGTGCCAGCCAACCACCCTCTTCTCTGCTTCCCACCTTTTTTTTTCTTTTTGAGATAGTTTCACTCTGTTATCCAAGAGACAGTGTCATGACATCAGCCTAGCACACAGCAACCTCAAACTGTGAGTCCAAGCGATTCCCCTGTCTCAGCCTCCAGAGCAGCTAGGACTACAGGTGCCCACCACCACACTCTGCTGATTTTTCTATTTTTAGTAGAGACAGGGCTCTCACTCTTGCTCAGACTGGTCTCCAACTCTTAAGCTTAAGGGTTCCTTTTGCTTTGGCCTCCCAGAGTGCTAGAATCACAGGAGTGAGCCACTGCTGGGCCTGCATTCCTTTCCATTCTTTCTATTACATTTTATCCATTTTCATTTTTTCTTTCAATTCCCTTTTATTCATTACTTCTGCATTTCATTACCTTCTCTTTAATTCCAGTCTGCTCCATTTCCACCCACCCCATTTCATTCCTGTTCTTTCCATTCATATATTTAACCCATTCCATCCATCCTATTTCCTACCAGTCCATTACTTTCTAGTCAATGTCATTATTTGCCTTCATTTGTGTTGATTGGCTTTCATTGCATTCCATTTCTTCTTATTCATTGTTTTATCTTCATTTATTTTTCTATTTCCTTTTTTCTCCACCCTTCCCTTTCCCATTCTTTCCATTAAATTCTATTTCACCGTTTTCTATTCTTTTCCTTTCTGTTCTATTCTTTCCCATTTTCATTCCTCTCAAATCCACTCCACTTGATTCTATTCCACGCTACTCTCTTCTTTTCCTTTCCACCCTCTACTTCCATGCCCTTCATGGCACTCCATTCCCCCTCCATCAGTGACTTGTGACAACATGTGTGAAGTGTCACCAACCAGGGAAGCTCACTCAATCCTGGGTTTTTATAGAGGGTCAGTCACATAGGTCTGTGTGACTCCCAGAAGGAAAGAAGGTATCCTCCATAAGTTACATTGTTAGTATCCTATCCCTATCTTGACAAACTGGTGGTACAGTATGGGTTAAGGTCTCAGACCTTTATTTAGTCAACAAGTATTTATTAAGCAACTATGATATACCAGATACTACACTCTTACAGATAGAACATTACAAGAGCTCAGCTCCTGGAGCTGGCCAAAGGCTAGTCATGAAAACAGGCCTTTCTTGGGAATGTATGTACGGGGTTTAAGCAACCTCAGATTGTTACATCAAGCCCAAGGAGAGCAGATAAAGACAGAGAAGAGCATGGGCTGACAGCTGAGTCCTGGGTCCCTTCAAGGTTTACAGGAGAGATCAAGCAAAAGAGAGTATTAAAAGAAAAAACTGGGCAGTGCCTGTGGCTCAAAGGAGTAGGGTGCTGGCCCCATATGCTGGAGGTGGCAGGTTCAAACCCAGCCCTGACAAAAACTGCAAAAAAAAAAAAAGAAAAGAAAAAGAAAAAAACAACCACCAATAAGAAACTTTGGGGTAAAGATTACATTTCAAGTAGCAATAATTTGTTATTGTTAAAGATCAGAATTTAAGTAAGGAAAACTACAAGAATGCTTTTTACAAGCATTTAAAAACAATATAAAAAATACCATTTTTCATACAGTAGGGCTCCAATTTACAGCTTCCTTCACGGTAGGATGAAAATTAACATCACAGTTATCTCATAGGGTGACTGGGCCAGTTAATGCCATGTTAAAGGTGTTTAACAAAGAGCCAAAGACCTTTATTTAGTCAACAAGTATTTATTGTGCAACTATGATATACCGGGTACTGCTTTTTTGTTTTGTTTTTTAGATGCTGAGGATACAGCAGCGAATAACACAGATACAAGTGCTTCTCCTTATGGAATTGACAAACTAGTGATAAAAACAAATAGATAATAGACCAGATACATACCTAAAATATATAGTGTGCTAGACAGGGAAACGTCCTCTAGTGAAAAAATAAAGATGAAGCGGGGAGGCAGAATGCACATGGGGAAGGAAGGGTTTGTTTGCAGTTTTACAAAGAATGGTCGAACAACCCTTCATGAGAAGATGACATCCTCCTAACCACCAGACAGTGTGAGCCAAGTGAATACCTCAGAGGAAGAGCCTGCCAGGCAGTGGGAACAGCACACTGCAGAGGCCCTGTGGTGGGAGCCTCCTGGATCTGTCAGAGAATGGGGAAAGTAAGCCAGGCAAAGAGGCAGGAGATGCGGTGAAGAGAAAAGGGGAGAGTTAGAGAATAGATCCTTAAGGTCTCGCAGGCAGAAAAAGAACTGAAATTAAAAGATATTAACACATTCTTACTATTTTACTAGTAGTACGTATAAAAACACCAGATTCTTGAAAGGTTCGGTAGGAGCTCCCTCCACTGGCAATTGCGGTTGTCGCAACAGCCTTACAGTCCGGCTGGGCGTCTCTACTGTTTCCCTTAGATTCCGCTGCCAGGACGACTCCCGGGCATGAAGCCGGGAGAGCCATCCTCTCTCAAGTCGGCCACTCTCCACGAGTCGCTGGTCTGGCCTCAGTACCCTGATACCGGTCCTAGTCCGAGTGTCCCACCCCGCATCGCGATACCCAGCGGCGGACCCCACTTCCTGTCTGGCCGCGTCCAGGCCCGCCTCCCTGAGGAGCTGGATTACCGCCCGCGCCGCTGAGGCTTCTGGGAGTTGTAGTTCCGACTTGCTGAGACCAAACGTACTTCCGGGTTCGTCCAGAAGCTCAGCCATTGTCCCGGGCGCGGATACTTGCCGTCGCCTCGCAACTCCGTCCTTCGGGGTTAGCCCCGAGCGGCCTTGTGGATGCTGAGTAGGCGAGGGGAACTAACTAGCCTAACCCGAGTCGTTCGTGCTGCAGAATCAGCGTAGGGGTTGTTTAATTCGAGTTCGTCCCATCGCAAAGCGGTGACCGGCACTAAAGCATTGACAGGCCCAACCTGAGCTACTGGCCCGCGGACTCCCAGGTTAGTTCTTGTCCCGTGCGCACCTGCGCAGGCTCTAGGTTGGTAGCTGGAAGCGGAGGAGGGCGTGGGTGGGCGACCTGGCATCTGCGATGCGTGGGTAGCACGTTAGCGTCTGATCACTTAGGTTGATGGAGATACTGAGGTACCTGCAGATTAGGCGACTGCGCTGCGCGCGCACGCGCGGGTAGTTGGTCAGGTGTTGCTCTTGTCTGGGCCTTTGGATACTCAGGTTGGTGGAAAACAGGACACATGCGCTGATGAGGTGGGGATCCTGAGGACCCCCCTCCTCAATTGCCAGGACTGTTTAGTGGAGAGCCTGAGGACGTCCAGGTTGCTGGAGCACTTAATTGGAGATTGTGGTTCCTGAAGGAGAGAGGCTGTGCCACTGCCCCTATAACTCTTGAGTAGGCATTTGGGTAGGAAGTAGAGGTGGGTGGTAAGATTCTCGGGAGGAGGCTCTGGTGCACACACTGCTCTTGGTGAAGGCCAGGAGATACTCTGATTTGTGGAGAACCCAGGCTGGAGTTGCAGATTCTTGCCCCAAGAAAAGTAGTGTTGCTTCAGGGAACCCTCTGTGGGAAACGCCCAGACTGAAGGAGGATATGAGGGCCTAGAGGCAGGTCCTATTCTGGCTGTGTTGCAATTTCAGGTCTGAGGACACACAAGTTGATAGTGACTAAGGTTAGAGCCCCAGGCCCAGGAGGAAGTTGGGGTGGGAATCTGGGCTAGAGCTGTTTTGGTAGGGGCCAGTAGACTCCAGAATGGTGGGACCAGGACTGGGTGCAGCTGAACTCTGGGATACGCTTGGCTATTTGAGCAAGGAAATGGGAGGCCCTCTGCAATTGGTTGGTTGGATCAGTCCTAATTACTGAATTAGTTCCTGGGAGGGGTGGAGCTGTGTCCCAGGCTTCATGCATTTAGGCAATGCATGTGATTCTGTGCCATCAATCCCAGGGCCTTGCTGCTGGCTCTAGGAAGAAGTGCTGGTTTGGGGCTGCAGATTCAAGTTGAGGGGATGGGGAAAGGTGCACACTAGTGGTCCACAATGTGCTGCATGTTCATGGGGATGTCAGGACTCAGTGGTACAAGATACAGGTGGATTAGTGCTGCAGATTTTGGTGGTGGTGGGCCAGAAATCACCACCTTTGTGTGAACATGAGGTGAGTTTGTAGGTAGGTGATCCAGAAGCCCAAGATACGGAAGGAGCCAGGATGGAGCTGTGGAGACTTGGCCTGGAAGAGGGACTGAGGGGCTTCCTATGCATGCATGGTATTTGGGCAGCAGTCTGGGCAGGAAGTGCCAAAGCACATTTGCAATGGAGAATTCATCTTGCATCCTGGGAGCAGGGACTAGTGGGGATGAGACACAACAGTGCCAGTGGACCTGAATGCTGTACTCAAGGCTTCTCCTCTCAGTGCAGCTTAGGACCTCAGCACACTGCTATACCCAGAGGACAGCATGGAACAGCAGGATGAGAAGTGCCCAGGGCCCCTGAAGGCCTGCATGCAGGTGAGTGGAGCCACCCTTTCCAGATAGACTCAGAGCTTACTGCCACCCAAGCTGCCTGGCCTGACCCTCTGGACTTGGGAGGCTGTGGCTCTCCAGCTCTCTTCACAGCCTTTTAGGGACTTTTGGTCCCTCATGGCCAATAGGCTTCTAACACTTAAACGGTACACATTTTATGACTCTCCCTGCTATGTTACCTCACATTTTTGTCCTAGGTAGCTCTTTCTGGGAGGAATTGGATATTCTGAATCAAAAGCCCTTAGAATTCTCATTTCTTATTGTCTAGCAGTTCACAGCTTTGTTTGAGAATGAACAATTTGAAATATCCTAAATGTGTAAGAAATTATGATAGTTGAACGTTAAGAGTATAGTTAAATGGATTATGGTAGGACCATGGAATGGAATATACTGTAGTCATTCCAGTTGTTTTGATAACATATACTTACTGACAGGAAAGATATTTATGACCTATGTTAAGTCAACAACATTTAGAAATCATCACCTTTTAAAGAAAGGATATAGTTTCTGTGTATATAGAAAATATGTTAGAAGACTATAAATACCAGTTAACAAGGATTATCCATAAGTTACTTTAAAAGTAACTTTATATTTTCATTTCCATATATCTATTTTCATGTTTTTGTACAGTGCTTTTCAAGATTAAAAACTTTACAATTTAGAGGCTTGGCGCTTATAGCTCAGTGGCTAGGGTGCCAGGCACATATACTGGAACTGACAGGTTTGAATCCAGCCTGGGCCTGCCAAGTAACAATGACAACTACAACCAAAAAAAAAAAAAGAAAAATAGCCAGGTGTTGTGGCAGGCACCTGTAGTCCCAGTTGCTTGGGAGGCTGAGGCAAGAGAATCGCTTCAGCCCAAGACTTTGAGGTTACTGTGAGCTATGATGTCATGGCACTCTAGGGTGATGTAGTGAGACTGTCTCAAAAAAAAAAAGTACAATTTAGAGCATTTCCTATAGCAAACATTCTTTGAAAACATTTAATCTATTAAAAATTTTGATTAGAGCTTTCTCTTCCCCTTTCTGAACAATTTAGCCTTGAAGCCATGAGGAGGGGCATAGCTAGGCAGGCACTTGCCTGCTGTGAGGTGTCACAGCCTGATGGATTTGAGAAGGATGGCCATGTGTGGGCATCAGTAACCAAGTAGGGTAAGGAGAGTGTCCACATAGGATAGCAGCCCAGCATGGTGTCAGAACCCAGGTGGAATGAAGAAGTCTGTGTAGGGAGCAGCCCAGTGTGGATGTTAGAGCCCTAGATGAGGCATCAGAGCCCAAGTGGATGGGGCCAGTGTCTACTATGGTGACAGGGATCTAATGTGGGGTGACAGGCCAGAGCAGGTAGGCAGGGTATCCACAGAGGGGATATCCTGGTGTGGGCAATTGGAGCCCAAGTGCAGTGAGCAGGTGTCCATGCCAGGGTGGTCCAGATGGGGTTGTCAGAGTCAGAGCAGCATGAGAAGCACATCCTTGTTGAGGGTAGGGCATAGCTTAAGTGTGTCGGAGCTTAAGCAGTATAGCCTGCCGGGTCTCAGATCATGTGGAGGGTACCTATGTAGTGGGCAGCCTGATGTGGGCTGTTCAAGCAGCATGAGGTGTGGGTCCATGAGTTGGGTTGGCATGGCTGGGAAAGTCAAAGTCCAAGTAGGGATAAGAGAGGCCTTTGACAGAGGGCAGCCTAGTGTGGGCTGGCAGAGCATCAGTGTGGGAGAGGGTGTGGCTTCGGAAATGGGAGATGAGCTACCTATGGGGAGCTTGATCTGGTAAGTAAGTATAGTAAGGGACTGGGAGCTGTTTTCACTGTCAAAGCAGGGAGGTACAAGTTACACAAGAGAAAGCACTATAATGAACTCTGTGGTGTGCAGGGGGGAACTGCAGGTTTTGAAGTAGACTCTTGGTTTTTAGCATACATAGATATAGAAATGTATAGGGATGTGTACCTGTTTGTGTGTGCATGTGTGCATGTTTCTGCACACATATGTTCCCTGTCTATCTACTGAGGGCTTGGGAATGTAGCATCCCAATGTCACTGCACACCTTGTACCCAGATTTTAACTTCTAAATGTGCCACCAGTTTTATGAGTTTACTGTTAATAGCACTTTAGTGTTAATTTTTTTGCTCTTATAAATAACATTGTTGTAAATGTGTTTTTGTACATGATTTCTTGTACACATGTGCAGGAGTTTTAAAGGGAGGTAAACAAGTATAAGTTTTTATTTATAACTTTCAAAACTATAAGTAAAGCATGTTTTGATGCAGCTGCTGATATTCTGCTTTAAGCTGGTGACTTTGGTGGTTTTCTGAGAGTTTAGTGATCCTTTTGCCATTTTCTTCTACATGAGATAACTGAATTAGGAGTTTGTTATAATATGAGTTTTATCACATATTTATTGGTTGTCTAAGCAGTGTGAGATACTGAGGAGAAAGATGAGGCAGATAGTCCTCCCTGCAGGGCTTAGTTCTCCCAGCCAGGAATATGCTTCCTATATTTTCCAGGAAAAGCAAAAACACACTCTCTCTAGTAGTTATCTATTCATACCCCAAAACATAGCAGCTTAAAACAGCTACCTTTTATTTTGTCAGACAGTTTCTATGGGTCAGGAATTCAGGAGCAACTTAGTTGGGCATTTCTGACACTCGGGTTCTCTAATGACCGTGCAGTCCAGTTGTTGGCTAGGGCTGCCACCTTCTGAAGGCTTACCTAGGTGGGAGGATCCTCATGCAAACTCATTTATGTGGCTGTTGGCAAAAGGTGTTCCACACCACCTTGGCCTCTCTCCAGTGCTGCTCACACCACAGCAGTTGATTTCTCCCAGAGCAAATGATCCAAGATGGAGAAGAAGGGAGTGGGGAAGAGGAAAGAGGGAAGAGAGGGAGAAGGAGGGGTCAAATGTGCTTAATTCACACAGACAAGATGGAAACCATAGTGTCTTTTATCATCTGATCTGAGAAGTGACACACCATCCTTCCTTTGTATTCTCTTGGTCTTGCAGACCCACCCTAGTACCATTTGGGCAAGAACTACATAAGGCTGTGAATTCTAGGAGACAGGAATCTTTGGGGGCCATTTTGGAGGCTGGCCACTACTTTTTTCAACTCTGAATGTCCTCTAGTTAACTATTATTAGAAGATACACAAGTACTTGATTTGGACCTGAAGGATATAAGAGCCCTGGTAGAAAGAGAGGAATTAAGGGAGCCCAGATCTTGCCTTTGAATGAAGGCCTTTGGTCCTTCCTAGTCTTGATCTAAGAAGAAACCATCTGAGTATTGGGATATCACCTGAGAGAGTTCTCTGGTTTGCATACCTGGCAGTAGCTGGGCCAGGGAAGGCCTTAAGCCAACTCTGAGCTCTACCTGCCTTCAAGGATTGGGACAAAAAGCTGGCCAATGTGGTGGTAGAACCTCACCCATCCTCTGTCGGTCTCTCCATTCAGAACCATGCAGGTTGTTGGTGGCTCAGTGGGGGTGGGGTCTATTTTGTGTATTTGAGGAAAGAGAATTATTCATGGATGATAGTGTGGGGTGGGAAAGGGAATTTTCTTGTGTATGAGAACTAGAGGGGCCCTCAGGAAGATCTCTGAGGAAATCAGGCAGGGCAACTTCTCTTCCAGCTTTGTAGTTGGTGGGAGGTGGCTTTATGCCCTCTAGAATCAGTAACTGAGAAACTATAGAGCCTTCACATGGGCCCTGTGGACATCACATCTCTTTTTCTTTTTTTTTTTTTTTGAGACAGAGCCTCAAGCTGTCCCCCTGGGTAGAGTGCTGTGGCATCACAGCTCACAGCAACCTCCAACTCCTGGGCTCAAGCGAGTCTACTGTCTCAGCCTCCCAAGTAGCTGGGACCACAGGCGCCCGCCACAACGCCCGGCTATTTTTTGGTTGCAGTCGTCATTGTTGTTTGGCGGGCCCGGGCTTCAAACCCGCCACCTTAGGTGTATGTGGCTGGCACCTTAGCCGCTTGAGCCACAGGTGCTGAGCTGACATCACATCTCTTGAGCTGAAATTTGAGCTCTGTCTTATATCTCCCAGGGCAGGAAGAGACAAAAACATAGCCAGGAGGACAAGTCTCTCTGTGTAATGCTTGTGTTTTCTAAACCTTTCATAGATATAGGGAGTTTCCTGCTGGCACAACCCAAATGCAAAGCTTGGAGAATTGAGTTCAGTAATAATTCTGTGATTTGATGAGAAACTTTGTTTTACTGCCCCACAAATGCCTTAGGTTGGGAAAGATAAATGTGATAATCTCTATTTATGGGTAAACAAATAGGCCAATAGCCATAAGTCTGATTTGACTACTGTCTTACTGTGAAATGGACAGGTCATTCCATGATGCTTGTCTCTGTTCCTCTGCTTTGGGTCACATGCGGTCTTACTTAAGTCACAGAAGGAACAGTTACTATCTTCTGCCCAGAACTCTTCTGTCTGTGGAAGTAAACAGTCTAATAATTCCTGTTCCCATTCTGTGAAGTATAGAAAGAAAAAAGAAAATGCTCCTTCATGTCATACAGAGGTGGTAACAGACTGGGGTAAAGGCTCTTAATTTCATTTGTATGTCCTTAACTCTGCTTGTGTGTCTAGTACTGTTAAATTCAGAGAACTTTTGTTGTGCTCCTACTCAACACTGAGAATATGAAGATGAAAAATATACAGTTCTTTGTCGTATAGAATTTATGACCAAGGGGAGAGATATATAGAGATGGAAGTAATGTGAGGAGAATAATTTTACTGGTGTACAGTAAAGATCCAGCAAAGCAGCTGAAAAACTCTTAAGAGAAGAACAGATGAGGCTTTGTGCTATGTGGGAACATGTCATGGAGGAAGTGTTATTCATTCTGGGCCTTAAATGATTCAACAGACTTTGGTAGGAGAATGGGAAGGGGAGGAGTTTATATCAGGTGATTAGTGGACTTAAATAAGTTGACTAAACTTTATTATGATTAATTTCTGCATTGGTGCAATTGGCATGTATTTTATTCAAAAAACTTTAGATAATTTTGTGAGATAGTCTATGAGTAAGTTGGGAGGAGATTCTAGAGGCTGGTGCTCTGAATTTTCTGAGAAGAAAGGGCATCCAACAGAGGCTTCCTCTAAACACAGGAGGAGCTTGAGCTCAGCAATAATTTGACAGTGTTAAAGGACCTCAGGGATAAATGTGAAGGTGCAGCTAGCACATTTCATGTCCCTTCTCATAGTGGTTGTTTTATAGTTAACACACATTTACAAAGTGCCTGCTGTGTGTCAGTAGTGATCAAGCACAGTGAAACCAGGGTAAACAGGACAGACAAAATCTCAGCTTTTAGTGGGAGTTGGATAAAAAACTAAAGGTAAGGCAGCGCCTGTGGCTCAAAGGAGTTATGAGCTGGCCCCATATGCTGGAGGTGGTGGGTTCAAACCCAGCTCCAGTCAAAAGTTGCAAAAAAAACCCAAACAAACAAAAACAAAACAACTAAAGGTAAGAATGTAGGTATGTGATGTGAAGACATGAAAGCACAGTATAGTGGTATAGTCTACTGCTGGGGTGGGAGCAAGGAAGAATGTTTCATCCAAAGTCTACTGTGAAGAGAGCTGAGTTCCTTTTTGTTTTCTTGTGAAAAACATTAGACAAAAAGTTATTAAAAATGGCTTTCATTCAAGAGTAGGTGCAACCACATTCTCTAAGTAAAATTGTTTTAGCAGTTGTGGCAGATAATGAACATTTTGGAATATTGTTTCTGTTCATTTAGAAATATTAGGATTTTCAATTCTTGGTATTGAGGTGGGAGGATCCTTTGAGCTCAGGAGTTCAAGACCAACCTGAACAAGAGTAATAATCTGAGTCTACTAAAGATAGAAAATATTAGCCAGGTGTCCTGGTGGGCACCTGTAGCCCCAGCTACTCAGGAGGCTGAGGCAGGAGGATCTCTTGAGCCTAGTTAGTTTGAGAGTTGCTGTGAGCTGGGGGTTGATGCCATAGTACTCTAGCTTGGGCAACAAAATGAGACTCTGTCTCAGAAAAAGAAAAAAATGACATGTTAGCATTATTGTGCATTGGGAATATGATTTTTCTTTGAGGCCTAGTTTCCATGAATGTGTTTGAGTCCATTAGCAGTTTGGGGTCAAAACATGCAGCTCCCTTGGACCATCTGTAGTTTTATTTTTGGCATTGTGAGCTTTGTTTGTTTTTATTCTTTGGTGTTTTGTTTGGTTTTTGTTCTATTTTATAATGCCCATGCAGCAGTTTTAAGGCAGTTTAACTGTCCTGATATTTGTGTATGGTAGAACTGCAAGCAACACAGCATCTTGTCTTTCACAGTGGGCCTTTTTTACATTGCAATGTAGTTCCTGCTCTTTGCATAGTCATTGTTAACCTCACTATCTGTCTAGAAAACATACAGAGGTGTTTTTAGGTTTGGAGAACCTGCCTTTAAAGGTGAAGTTTCCTGCCTTTAAAGACATTAATGCTAGCTTTTTATTTATTTATTTATTTTGAGACAGAGTCTCACTGTGTCACCCTCAGTAGAGGGCCAAGGCATCACAGCTCACAGCAACCTCAAACTCTTGGGCTTAAGTGATTCTCTTGCCTCAGCCTCCCCAGCGGCTGGGAATACTGGTGCCCACTACAATGCCTGCCTATTTTTTGGTTGTAGTTGTCATTGTTGTTTAGTAGGCCCAGGCCGGGCTCAAATCTGCCACCTTTGGTGTATGTGGCTGGTGCCCTACTCACTGCATAGGTACCTAGCATGGGCCCTGAGCCAGTGCTAACTGTTTTAAATAACCCTTCCCACTGCAATAGTGAATTTTGTCTCCATTGGTAAGGGGGAAAAATTGACACACCTATGCCTATGAGAAAGTACAATAGTTTTCTCTGTTAGTTTCTGACTGTGAGGCTTTTATATAAATAAGTGATATTCAGGAATCAATAGTGTTTCCTTTTTAGTGTTTGCAAATTTGAGAAGTGGTGAAGTATACTTGAATAAATGTTTGAAGATTTGAGAAGTGGCAAAGTATACTTGAATGAACTGTTATTTGAACTATTATACTCTGTAGGAAAAAACCTCAGGACACTACAAAGGAATTTTCTTGTTTGAAGATCAGTTTTCAAGAAGGAAACACTTTTTCTTGACTCTGAATATTTAATTAAATAAAAGTTCTATTGAAAAACATGGATACAGTATTAAATCAGGTAATGAACATGCTCCTCATTTCTAACCTTTCAAAGAATAACTCCTTTTAATGCTTTTGAGAATGTTCTTTCTGGTTTTTCTGTGCATTTTTATGTTATAAAGACCTGTATACTTGTCTTAATTTTTTCACTCAAAAATATAGACATCTTTCTGTCATATATGTGTACCATGCAATTCTATCTCTTCTTTTTTTTTTTTTTTTTTTGAGACAGAGCCTCAAGCTGTCCCTGTGGGTAGAGTGCCGTGGCATTACAGCTCACAGCAACCTCCAACTCCTGGGCTCAAGCGAGTCTTCTGCCTTTGCCTCCCAAGTAGCTGGGACTACAGGCGCCCGCCACAACACCCAGCTATTTTTTGGTTGCTGCCGTCATTGTTGTTTGGCGGGCCGAGCTGAATTCAAACCCGCCACCTTGGGTGTACGTGGCTGGCACCTTAGCCACCTGAGCCACAGGTGCCGAGCCAATTCTATCTCTTCTTCTCTTGGCTGCTAATGATGCTCAGTTGTCTGGATGGAGCATAACTTATTTAACCAGGCACTTCCTAATGGTTATTTAATACCTCCCCATTTTTCTTTTTTTTTTTTTCCTCCCCATTTTTCTATGGTAATGTAACTTGTCAGTGAAATTTATTATGCATACATCTCAATGTACTTTCTGTTGCATTCTAAAAGTAAATATTTGCAAGTACACTGTTTTTTTTTTGGAGACAGAGTTTCACTATGTTGCCCTCGGTAGAGTGCTGTGGCATCACAGCTCACAGCAACCTCAAACTCTTGGGTTTAACTGATTCTCTTGCCTCAGCCTCCCAAGTAGCTGGGACTACAGGTGCCGGCCACAATGCCTGGCTATTTTGGTTGCATTTGTTTAGCTGGCCTCTGCCAGGTTCGAACCCACCACCCTTGATATGTGGCGGGTGCCATAACCACCATGCTACAGGTGCCAAGCCAAGTTTACTTTTTAATTTTATTTTTAGCTGGCCCAGGCTGGGTTTCAACCCGCCACCCTCAGTATATGAGGCTGGTGCCCTTACCACTGTGCTACAGGTGCAGAGCCTGCAAGTACACTTAATGGATATTGCATTGTTAAAAAATATTGCTATTAAAAAAACAAAAATGAATACAAAGACATATATTAAAATTGATAAAATCTGAATAAAGTTTATTCCTGAGTTAATAACATACCAGTGTCAATTTCCTGGTTTTCTCAATGTACTGTGGTTGTATATAGTATTATCATTTGAGGAAGGTGAGTGAAGGTCTATTTTTGCAATTTTTTGTGAGTCTTCAACTATTTCAAAATAAAACAGTATTTATACATATTAATATATAGCTAATCCAGGAAGGCAGTATCATCTTATATTTCTATTCTACTAAGAATATATTAAGCTCTTGTCAAGCAGGCCCAGAGCTAGAGTTGTTAGCAACAGACCAATGACTATCAAAAAAAAAAAAAAAAAAAAAGCCAATCAGGATGTTGGTTACATACAGGGGTTTGTGCAAATAAGTAAATGTAAAGAGGATAATGGGAGCCAGAGAAAGACAATATAAATATGGAAAGCAAGAGGCTGAAATAAAATGTGCTATTAAATTGTAATTGGAGATGTCAGTGTAAACTTAGGGTCTCAACTATATATAGATAGTTAATGGAAATAGATATCCAATTGTAGTCCCAGTTACCAAGGAGGCTGAAGCAGAAGGATCATCTGAGCCCAGGAGTTTGAGGTGGTAGTGAGCTGTCATGATACTCTACACTCTAGCCAGGGCAACAGAGTGAGACTCTTTCTCAAAAAAAAATTTATTTTATTTTATTTTATTTGACTTAAGGAGTTGAGTATCTGTGTAATATATTCACTGGCCATTTTATTTCTTCATAATTTCATATATTGAATGTGTTTCTTCCTTTGTTTTTCTTATTGAGGCTACTTTTTTTGATGAAGAGAATTCTTATAGTATAGATTTATATCAATTGTGCCTTAATAAGTAATGCTTTTTGCTAAAAATTTTGTGAGCTTAATTTTTTGGTGTTTCCCTTATGATTCTGGCTTTGGTCATGTATTCCATTTCATCTGCTTATAATTTTGTAACCCAGAAATTTATACAGGGCCCTGCTGGGCAGTTCTATTCCACATAGTGCCTAGGGTCATTCAGTCAGCTACATTTAGCTGGCAGCTGGGCTGGCCCAGAAGATCCACAAAGACTGTATGCTGATGTCTAGGGCCTCAGTGCTTCTTCACATGTCTCCCCCTCTCTTCCCACATGGTTAGCTGAGCTTACCAATGGGAGAGAACAGGGATTAAACAGATGGGAGGTATTAAAGCAGGTAGTATGTCAAATCTCAACCTACTTACAGTGGGAGTTTTGAGCTGCAATTTAACCCCCTGATTATGTTTCTTTTTATTGTCTGTTCTGCCTTCTCAGGACTCTCTCCTTTCTCAAGAGATTATCATCAAGGTTGAAGGAGAAGATGATGGATCACTATCCATCCCATCCCAGGTAAGTTGGGGAAGGCCTCATTCTTTACATTGAGAAATATACATGGCTGTTTGGTGATAGCAACCAGATTTTGAAGTGAGCTGGGAAGTGAATAGAAAGTGAGGAAAGGCAGCCAGGTGTGGTGACTCACACCTATATTACTAGCGTCTGAGAGGCCAAGGTGGGAAGATTCCTTGAGCTCACAAGTTTGAGATGAGCCTGAGCAAGAGCAAGATCCCATCTCTACTAAAAACAGAAAAACTAGCTGAGAGTTGTGGTAGGCACATGTAGTTCAAGCTACTCAGGAGGCTGAGGAAGGAGGATCATTTGAAACTAGGAGTTTGAGGTTATCGTGAGCTAGGCTGAAGCCACAGCACTCTAGCCTGGGCAACAGAGTAAGACTATGTCTAGAAGAAAAAAGAAAGTGAGGAAATAGAGATAAGAGTGGACAACTTTTCTAAGAAATTTGGTTGTCATAGGAAGATTGAAGAGAGTGAGAACTACAGGGAAATTTGAGATTGAGGAGCTTTTGTGTTTTTTTTAAGAATTGAAAAAATATGACTCTATTTAAATGGTTACAGGAAGGAATTACTATAATGATCAGGAAACAGAGGAAATGATCTATAAAGCAGAGTTCTTGATTAACATTAGAGAAATTAATTCAGAACATCTGCAAATAAATTAGCTTTAGAACAGGAAAAATATTTATATAGGAAAAATGAGGTTGAGTGGGTTATCTGAAGGCTTACACTTTTCTCTGTGGAAGATCACATGAGCATGAAGGTGGGAAATGGAATGAAGAAGTATTTGACAAGAGTAGGGAAATATTTGAAAAGAATACTATCCAAATCCAATAGTAATTTTGGATCATGAGAGAACAAGCTGCCCTAGTAGGTGTAATAGGTTTGCTGGTCAGCCTGAAAGGATCATTTGGAGATAGTATAGTACTCTCTCTAGCTGCTTTGTGGTTTTTTCCCCCTCAGTGGCATTTTGTAACTCAGTTTCCATACATAGCAGATTGACATTTGAATTCAGTTAGTTTTGGCAATTTTCCAGGTCCTTTTCTTATTGAATGGAAGCTTTATAGGTTGAGGGAATATTTTAAAGAAAGTTTTAAAATACACCAAATAGAAAGATTTAAATAAGTGACCCGTGGACTCTAAATTGAATAATTAAGATGTATAAATTATAAAGGGGCCACTAAATAGAAAGGAAAAGAATATAGACTGATAGATAGTAGATATTTTAATAGCATAGTGGCCTGAAAGCATAAAAGAACAAGAAGAATAAAGGGAGAAATTGAACCAGTGGAGCAAATTGATGTTGTAATCAAAGAGTGGGCAGTGTCAGATGTGTGATTCAAGAGGTGGAGTACTTTATGGTGATTTTAAGGTAAGGTCTGGGTGTCAGCCTAATTGTGAGCTATTGAAGAGCAGTTCCAGGATGTGAGAATTGGGTTGGTCATATATACTGATGACTGAGAATCCAGTCTCTGACATGCTACCAACCCTATGCAAAATGTCTTGATTTCTCTAACTTTCTGTTCTTCATATGAAAAAGTGTGGCACAGAATCACTTAAGCCCAAGAATTTGAGGTTGTTGTGAGCTGTGACACCATGGCAGTCTACCAAGGCCGACATAGTGAGACTGTCTCAAAAAAAAAAAAAAGAAGAAGAAGAAAAAGAAAAAGTGCTGCATACCTCATTGCTGAATATCACTTATGGTCACCTTCAAAATACTGCCCTTGGCCATCTAGTACTCCTTTTCTGGGTCATGAAAACAGGTCCAACATCCAAAATTCAAATGAGCTTACCTAGAAGGTACCTATATACCTTGACTAGAATCCTTTAGACACTGACAATCCCAGGTCCTCAGGTTTTCCTTCTTTCATCTGTCAAACTTTTCTTCCTCTGTGAACATTGGAAATAAATGGTCTCAAGTTAAACAGGAGTGTATGTCCTGTTTTAGGAAGGAGTGAACTTCAAAATTGTGACTGTGGACTTCACTCAGGAGGAAGAGGGCACTTGGAACCCAGCTCAGAAGACCCTGGACAGAGATGTGATCCTGGAAAACCATAGGGACCTTGTCTCTTGGGGTAAAGATATAGTCCTCAGACTTAGTGAAGGTTTGATTACTGATGTGATTTCACATTCCCGTTGATTAAGAGCTACTTAGCAGCCAAAATGATGTAATGTGGATTGTTTTGGTGATCTTCATTCTATAGTGAAGATTAACTTCAATTTGTAGGGTAGAAAGGTATGAGCTTTTAAAATCTTCATGGTTTCTAAAGGCTAAAGGCTGGAACAAAATTCTGCAGTGATTTTCTTTTGTCCCCATCCCAAACACCCAAAGTCTTATATCTTTCCTCATCAGCTTTTCAAACCAGATTCAATTCCTAATTAGAACAAGGGGAAGAATATAAAAAGAATTTCTCATTGCATGTGTCCAGGTGAGAACCAGACATATGGATCATTACAGGTATAGAAGGTTTGTTTGAAAAAAATTCTCATAAAAGATAACTGCATTTTTTTCCATCTCCCATCTCCTGGTAGACTGTATACAAGACTACTTTTTCTAGGTATATGCTATTGCTTGACCTAGCATTCACCCAGGCTACCAGGAGCAAACCTCCCTTCTCTCTCAGTTGGAATCATAGGAATCTATGGGGCTATATGAGCCCCTAAGGTATTCAAAGAACTGGGTTAATAATGTCATATGCCTTTTCCTGGCTTCACAAAGGTAGTTTACGCATGTCTTACTGACACAGACTATTTTAGCAAGTTTTATACATAGAAATTCCTATAAACACAGATACTAATCTGTATTTCAATAAACATGTGTCTAGTACTAAAGAGGGAGGAAAAGACCCTCTCTTTCTTTGCTAAGGATTGCAAAATTTGGTTGATACTCTGTAGCTTCTGCATAGATGATCTTATTTTAGAATATGAAGGTATATGACATACAAAATCTTGTATTTTCATATAAAACTAAGATTAAAATATCTCTTTTAATTCTTGGTTGTACTACTGCCCAAGGGGTGGGGAACATGCAGCTTTGGGGCCACATATAGCTTTCTAGATCCTTGAGTTCAGTCTTTTGACTGAATCCAAACTTCATAAAACAAATCCCTTTATTAAAAGGGGGAGGGTGCACTTAGGGATCTGGAAGGCCACGTGTGGCTTTGAGGCTCCAGGTTCTCCAGTGTTGCTTACTGCTTTCTCAATCCAGGTTATGGTTCCATAGTTGAAAACAAATCCACTTATACTTTGAATATGTTTTTTGTTAGCTTTATTTCATTTTTTCAGCTCTAACATTTTTTGCTAGGATGTGTTATTTTGCTTTCTTCCAGATCTGGCAACTACACTTAGAAGAAGAGAATCAGCTTCAAAATGGAGCGGTTTTGATGATGAACCATTTCATGGAGTGAAGATAGAAAAATTGACAAGGGATGATCCTTGGTTATCTTCATGTGAAAAAGTCCATGATTGTAAGGACGAGTTGGAGAATCAACAGGAAAAAGAAGAGAGACTTTTGCAGGAAGTGGCATTCACTCAAAGGAAAGCTATTATTCATGAGAGAGTGTGCAAAAGCAATGAGCTTGAGGAGAAGAGTGGTCTGAATTCCAGTCTTCTTTCACTCCCAGTGATACCCATAAGAAACTGTTTTGATAAACATGTACCACATATTAAAAAATTGCATCATAATTCTGTTGTAAGCAGCCATCAGAAGTTTGATGCCAGTGAGAAACTATGTGAAAATAATGAATGTGGAACCCCTCCTCAAAGCATTCACCTTATTCAGTTTACAAGAACTCAAACCAAAAAATCCTATAGATTTAGTAATAATTTTCAATCTTTGAGCCATGGTACACCCTTAGATATACATGAAAAAATTCATGTAGGAGGAAAACCCTTTGATTTTAAGGAATGTGGGCAAGTTTTGAACCATAGTGAACAAGAGAAAATTCCTGTTAAAGAGAGTCAATATAAATGTAGAAAAACCCCTCAGAATTCATCCCTTGCTGAAAACATGAGAAATCATTCAGAAGAGAAACCTTTTGAATGTAATCAGTGTGGGAAATCCTTCAGCTGGAGCTCACATCTTGTTGCACATCAGAGAACTCATACAGGGGAGAAACCTTATGAATGTAGTGAATGTGGAAAATCCTTCAGCCGGAGTTCACACCTTGTTTCCCATCAGAGAACTCATACTGGAGAGAAACCTTATAGGTGTAATCAATGTGGAAAATCCTTTAGCCAGAGTTATGTCCTTGTCGTGCATCAGAGAACTCATACTGGAGAGAAGCCTTATGAATGCAGTCAATGTGGAAAGTCATTCAGACAGAGTTACAAACTTATTGCGCATCAACGAACTCATACTGGAGAGAAGCCCTATGAATGCAACCAATGTGGGAAATCATTTATCCAGAGCTATAAACTTATTGCACATCAAAGAATTCATACTGGAGAAAAACCTTATGAATGCAATCAATGTGGGAAATCCTTTAGTCAAAGTTATAAACTTGTTGCTCATCAGAGAACTCACACTGGAGAAAAACCCTTTGAATGTAATCAGTGTGGAAAATCATTCAGCTGGAGCTCTCAACTTGTTGCACATCAAAGAACTCACACTGGAGAGAAACCGTATGAATGTAATGAGTGCGGAAAATCTTTCAACCGCAGCTCTCACCTTGTTATGCACCAGAGAACTCATACTGGAGAAAAACCCTATGAATGTAATCAGTGTGGGAAATCCTTCAGCCAGAGTTATGTTCTTGTTGTGCATCAGAGAACTCATACTGGAGAAAAACCCTATGAATGCAATCAATGTGGGAAGTCCTTTAGGCAGAGTTCATGCCTTACTCAACATCAGAGGACTCATACTGGAGAGAAACCCTATGAATGTAATCAGTGTGGGAAAACATTCAGTTTGAGTGCTCGACTTATTGTACATCAAAGAACTCATACTGGGGAGAAACCTTTTACATGCAGTCAGTGTGGGAAAGCTTTCATTAACAGTTCTAAACTAATTAGGCATCAGATGACTCACACTGAAGAGAAACCTTATGAAATGTAACAAGTTTGGAAGTCTTTCAGCTAGTGTTTATTCCTTTTTCTTTAATCCTTTCTTAGAGATTTGTTTTAATGGAGTAAGTTTCCCATGTAGTAGGAAGAACTAGTATAAAAACAATACATGTGGAGAAAATTCTATTTAGCTCTGTTGTATTATATTACTGGAAATTCATTCTGAAGAAAAAAGTGGGAAAACCTATGAAATACATATCTTGCAATTCCACATACAAAATTAAAATTGGCCCTTGTGACAGATACCTACAAACATAATAAATATTTGTACTTTTCCTTGCAGAAAGCACATATACATGAATCTGAGAGAAAACCGTATCCTAAAGAGCAATTGCCAGTGAGATAGACCTCTTTTCCCATGAAAAGTAACACTAGTGAGATGATTGAACACTTGTTGAGATGATTGAAAGATTGCTGTCATTTTTAGAACTTAGACTGGAAAATAGTATTTCAAAGTATCATTTTAGTACATGTTTTCCCCATCAGGTTGTTTGTAACCAGTTTCATACAGCACTTTTTGTTAAGATTTTGCAAAATGTCTATGTTATGACGTGAAAAATGCAGATTAAGAATACAGAAATAATATTCATTGCTAGAGCAGTTATGATAAAATACTTGAGTCTACATTAGAATTGAAAGGGATTCTGGTTGATTTGGTTTTTTGGCTTATGTTAGACCTGCCTTTTTGGAATGTATGCTCTTTTGCTTTAATAAGTGGTACAATGAGTAAAGAATAGTCAAAATAAAAAAGAAATAAAATGATTTTCATCACCTTTGAGTCATGTTGAGAAGGCATTTAGGAAATAGCAACCAGTTAGCAAAGATTCTGAGGGTTCTGAGATTTCTGTTTGGATTAACACAAGCAGGTTACTCTTTAGGATTTAGATTCCCAGGGATATTCCTCAATAAAAAGATGGTTTTCCAGAAATGGGTAACTAGAAATTTAGTCCACAATGTGTTCTATATGAAAGATTGAGAATTTGTGGACAGAATAGAGGACAAATGGACTTATTTTCATATATTCAATGCAGTATGAATAAGCTTCATTTTCAAGTTTCCCTACCCTTATGTAGCATTGTCTTTTCCTTTTTTTTTTTTTTTTTTTTAGAGACAGAGTCTCACTATATCGCCCTCAGTAGAGTGCCATGGCATCACAACTCACAGCTCACAGCAACTTCCAACTCCTGGGCTTAAGCAATTCTCTTGCCCCAGCCTCCCAAGTAGCTGGGACTACAGGCGCCTGCCAGAATGCCTGGCTATTTTTTTGTTGCAGTTTGGCCAGGCCCAGGTTAGAACCCATCCACCACCCTTGGTATATGGGGCTGGAACCCTACCCACTGAGCCACAGGTGCTGCCCAGTATTGTCTCCTCTTTGGTATATGTTTCCTAATGTGAGAAATGTGTAAGTGGGAGGGTCCTGCCATATCTAAGTGTTCATCACCTAAATTAAGTTTGCAAGAATGCTTTTAGTGAAGCAAGCTTTGTAGCTACTCTTTGATTTTCTAGATTGAGTTCATGTCTTCCTTTGCCTCTAACTTATGAATTCCAATTCTGTGATTTTCACCAAGCACCTTACTTTGAAGGCAAGTAATTGTGGTTGTACTAATGCATGTAAAGGTAAGTGGGCTAAAAATAAGGGCTGTGAAGATTTCAAGTTTTGGAAGTAGTTTATTGCAAAGGAATTTCTTCAGTGAATGTTAAAAATATTTCATGAACTATGAAATGTTAAAAGTATAAAAAATTATTTTGAGGTGAATATGTGTGTGAATGCAAGTTATTGTGTGTGTGTGTTTGTGCATGCATGCATACATATATGCATATGTATAGAGGCACTTCTGGACAGGTTGCATATGTGAGTTATCTGTGTGTACTAAGTCATAAACAGAATTGACCCTTAAACAACATGGGTTTGAAGTGTTGGGGTCTACTTAGTTGATTTTCCCCCAACCAAATGCATATAAAAGAATGCAGTATTTTCAAGATGTAAAACCCAAGTATAAAAAACATTTTGCAAATGTGGTTACATAGGGCTGAATGTGGGATTTGAGTATGCTCAAATATGGGTTTAGGTTTATGCAAGAGGTCCTGGAACCAATTCCCTGATTATACCAAGGGAAAACTATATATCAGTTCCTGGATAGTGATTTAGTTGCCAAGTGTTTTGAAGTAAAATAGTTTTAATAATTAAGCAAAACATAAGAGTAATTTGTCATTTGCTCAATAATTTCCTTTGCAGGAAAAGTATTATAATTTAAAAATGGTCAACCAAAAATAAAAAGAACATGCCAAAGATTAATAAATTTGAGAGCATAAAGTTTAAGGCCAAAAAACTCAATCAATAACTAGATTTTAATGATCTATGGCATGTGTGTGTGTATCCTTTGCAAAAGTTACCATAGAGAAATTCACTGAGAATTTATAGGCCAAATTTATTTTATCATACTCCAGTAAAACTGCAAGTAGAAGATGACCAAGATGTTTTTAATATGTAGACGTTAAAAAAATACTCTCCAAGAACCAGTTTTTCAAAGGGTAAATCAAAGTGAATTTTAAAACCACCTAGGAAGTATTACATGAATTGACTTAGTGCCAAAAGCAGGAGGATACAAAAAAAGCTATTCTCACAATAAATAGAAAGTTTATAGCTTTAAAATGACTTCTTTTTTTTTGAGACACTGTCTCACTATAGTGCTGTGGTGTCACAGCTCATAGCAACCTCAAGCTCTTGGGCTTAAGTGATTCTCTTGCCTCAGCCTCCCAAATAGCTGGAACTACAGGCACCTGCCACAACACCCAGCTGTCTTTTTGTTGTTGCAGTTGTCGTTGGTTAGCAGATCTGGGCTGGGTTTGAACCTGCTGAGCTTTGGGTGCCAAGCCTAAAATGACTTCTTTATCAAAGGAGAAAGAATGAAAATAAATGTGAGGCCCCATCATGGTGTTATAGAAACAATAAAACGAACAACAAAAACTAACAATGGAAGAATGTAAAAGCTTAATATAGTACAAAGCAAATATAGTGAACAGTCCTATTCTTCTGGGATCTGTATTCACCACTGTTTATTTTCCCCATGTCTTCCTAATATCTTTGCTTTTCTTGTTGAAATATATCCTTTAGTATTCCCTTAGCAAAGTGTGTGTGTGGTCGGGGTGGGTGGTGACCTTTCTTACACAATATATGCCTGAAAGCATCCTCAGTGGTCATTTACTCTTGAATGGTACCTTAGCTAAGGAAGACATTTTAGGCTAACAGTTTTCCTATAGCATTTTGAAAGTATAACTTGATTTTCTTCTGGCATTTAATGCCAAAGAGAATTTTGTTGATAATCTATTATATTTTGGTAGAGTAATCCAAGCTATGGAATTTCCTTGCTCAGTTCTCAGAGTATGCTTTTGATCTGAGGAACTTGGTATAGTGCTTAGAGTGTGCAGAATTCTCAGTGGTGACTCTTCAAAGTTTTCTGCTACTCTTCTTTATATTCTTTTTGAAATTCCAATGGATAAGTGGTGGGGCCTCATGTTCTAGTTTCAGTGACTCCTTAATTGCTTTTTTCTTAGTTTCAGTTATCTGGGGTAAGGTTGTTTCAAGTTGTTTAGAGTAAGTGCTTCAGAATATCTAGTGCTTGCTATTGTTTCTGTTTATTTTTTAAATGATACTTTTTATTTTTAGTATTTAAAATTAATTAGTGCTTTCCCATGTCCACCTTTCCTTGTAATGTCTTTGTACAAGCCTTTTAATCACTCATTTTCATGTGTTCATTTTGCATTAGAACGTGTCCTGGAACAGCCATATTCTAGGCTCTTAGAGTTGATATGTAGAGGTATTTTAGCCTTGACTTCTTTGTAGTCAACAGTGAAATTAACTGCTGGCTGCTCACTATGCAGAGTGAGTGCCATGGGGTTGACTGTTTTATGCAACAAGGGTTTTCTTCCTGTCATTCTTGGTCTTTTCTGGTTCTCAGAGCCAGAATGACTCAAGGAACTATAATGTACTTAGTCTCCAATGTGAAGGATTTCAGTCTGCAGTGAAGTGGTGTTCTCATGGCTGGGTGCAGTGGCTCACCCTTGTAATCCTAGCATTCTGGGAGGCTGAGGTGGGTGGATTGCTTGAGCTCAGGAGTTCCATACCAGCCTGAGCAAGAGCAAGACCCTGTCTCTACTTAAAATAGAAAAACTAGCTGGGCATTGTGGCTCATGCCTGTAGTCCCAGCTACTTGGGAGGCTGAGCCAAGAGAATTGCTTGAGCCTAAGATTTGAGGTTGCTGTGAGTTATGATACTATGGTGCTCTAGCCTGGGGCAACACAGAGAGAGAGAGAGAGAGAGATTCTGCATTAAAAAAAGAAGAAGAAGAAGAAGAGGTGGCTCAGCGCCTGTAGTTCAGTGAGTAGGGTGCTAGCCCCATACACTGAGGCTGGCAGGTTCAAGCCTGGCCCAGGCCTGCTAAACAACAATGACAGCTACAACCAAAAATAGCCGGAGTGTTGTAGCAGGTGCCTGTAGTCCCAGCTACTTGGGAGGCTGAGGCAAGTGAATCACTTAAGCTTAAGAGTTTGAGGTTGCTGTGAGCTGTGGTACCACAGAACTCTACTGAGGGCAACATAGTGAGACTGTCTAAAAAAAAAAAAAAATTAGGTACCTGCTGAGGACACCTTCCATTTCTTCCTACACTGTTGCTCAGTTTTTACTACTTTTCCACTCTTTCCATGTTATTTTGTGATTTTAATGTTTCAGATTACTCCTAGGTTAACAAATATAAATGTGCTTTTATTGATTTTTTTTTTTTGAGAGATTTCAGCTAAGTAGGAGAAATTTATGTCTTTTGTCTTTGTAAATTTATGGACTTTGTATCAATCTTTATCTCTTTTTTTGTGACAGGGTCTCTTTATATCTATCACCCAGGCTGGTCCCAAGCTCTCAAACTCCTGGGCTCAAGCAAAACTCTTGTTTCAGCCTTCTGAATAGCTGGGACTAAAGACACATGGCACTGTGCCCAGCTAAATTTTTTTTTTTTTTTTTAAGAGAAGAGGTCTCATTATGTTGCCAAAGCTGATATTGAACTCCTGGCCTCAAGAGATCCTCCTGCCTCAGCCTCCTGAGTAGTTGGGACTACAGGCATGAGCCACTGC